AATAGTTGAATGAAGATAAAATAATAGTTGTATATTTAAATAAAATTATTGTAGACTGCTTTGCAAGGATCTACTGAAGCAAGTCCTTAAAGTGTTTAGAGTTATGCATGGAAAGGCCAGATGGGCGAGCTGAGTGTGAGCTGGCAGAGATGGAGGCAGAATGCAGATCTGGTATTTAACAAAATATGGATATATTTTATATTATAAACCATATCTGAGGAAACGTTTTACCTACATACCTAAATTGTTGTCTATTGCTCAACAAGAGCAAGCAAGCAATTTAAGTTTTGGGCAGACAAATCCAATGAATTAGAAAGACATATGCTAATAGGTCATATATTTTTTTTTTAATATTTAAAGACTACATACATACATACTTTCACCAAATACTTTTTGAGAAATTAAATGTGCATTATTTTAGTATATTTCCATAGGGTGACCAATTGCTTCTTATATTTGCATATGATACGTATATTATATATTTAAAAATTTAATAAGGAATTAGTTTCCTATTTTCTCATTTTTTTTAATTTTTAAATATTAATAAAGCAATTTAAAATATTTCTACAATTTTGTATAAAATTACGTGTTAACGAAACATATTTATTACTTATATTCAATTCATTAAAAGAGACATTTAGCTGAATTTGTAAATTTTCAAAAGGCAAATGGGGGCAATCCATCTACCATATTCGATAAGGCATGTCTGGAATTGCGTTTGCATTTGACTTCGATTGCGTCCACTTAGCTCGTTGCGTGAACTCGTTTAGCTGCTCAGTGTCAACTCTGGGTTGGCATCAGGCATCGGGCATCGGGCATCGGGCAGCAGGTTGGTTGCCTTTGACAAGGCGATTGTTGGAGCAACAACTGCTGCATGGGGCAGCAGCTGAGAAGAGCGGGCGAAGTCAAGTGCATTTTCTTTGAAGCAACTGCAATTCGAGCAATGCAGCAAAGTTTGCACCAAGTGTCGAGTCGCTTTTTTCTGGTTTTTCTTTTTGGTTGCCTTTGCTTTTGCATGCTTTTCTTTTGCACTTTCCTCGACTCCATTCGCAGGGCGCTTTCAATTTGTGTGTACATAAATTTCGAAATGGACTTCTCGTGTTTGGAGTCGCGACAGCCAGCAAAGAAAGAAAACAAAACGAGAAAACAGCGATACGCCGGCTAAGGACTGGAGTGCGGAAGCATGCCGTGAGGGCCACTTGCAACACCCGCTGCAAGGGCTAGATAGTGTGGCAGGAGGCGACGGCATAAATAACCGAGCAAAACAAAAGAGTGCCCTATCGAAAGTCGACTCGCAATGCCAAAATTTACGACATCTACGAACATTTCCACGCATAAATTTGGGCCAGTTAAAAAATTTCACAGTTTCAGAATTCCAGAATTCCAGCAACAGCACAGCAAAATTGCCAAGCAAATTCCTTTGTTTTATCGCATTTGTTGTATTTGTTTTAATTGGAAAACTTAAAGCGTTGCCAAGTTTTCGGACTGGCGCTGGGAACTGGATAATTTGATTGTGAGACGATTTCCGCACTCAATGGACCGTAAAATTATAGCAGTAACAGACGAAACAGAGAGAGAGAGAGAGAGAGAGAGAGATAGGGGGAGAGCTGTCGTGTGAGAGAGAGAGAGAGAGATGAGGGCATATGTAAATGTTGATAACAATAAATGTTCAAGGCAAAAGTTGAAGTTAAGGTTTTTTGATTTGGTCACAGCGTTCTGCTTGGTCTGTTCCGCCTGTCCGTCCCATTGTCTGTCCGTGTGGGTGTGGATAGAGTTGTAAGAAACGCTTCAAAGCGTTTCTTTCATGCACTTTTCACACCAGCAAAGCAGAGAGCAGCCAAGTGGGGCGGGAGACACTTACTCGAGCGTAACAAAAAACCATTCGACTTAAAAGCAAACATCAAATTCAGTCGAGGCAAAGCTGCATATTAAAATCTATAACAATCGAATACAGAAAATCAAGTCTTCATGAGTCGATTTGCCTATTGATATTTAAATCGAATATGGAGCATTAAATGCTAATAAATATCAAAGATATTAAACAAATAAATATCTTCGGTATTGGAGGTAAAAATGACATATGAATATTCTTGAATTTTATTATTATTGTAAATTAATTTAGATTAAATTAATTATTTAGCTAAAATGCTGTGCTTTTATTTATTTATCTTTTTGCATTAAACATATAATTTAATATTGCATTGAATAGTTTAACTTGTATTTATTTGTTGATCGCCTTGCCATTCTGAATGGTTATTTTTTAATTCTCGATGTTATTTTTTAATTTTTTTTTATTTGTATTTTATTTTTTACCTTGAATATATTTTCTAATATAATTGAAACATTCAAGATGTGTAATAAATATAAAAATAGTTTACTCTTGCTATAACTTTTCAAGTAAATAGCTGTGAACAATCAGTTTAGCATAAAATTGCAAATTAAGTTTCAGTAGTAAATAAATGAATTTGTAAGGCTTATTTCAATAACTCATTAGAAACGCTGGAATAAAACAAATGAAGCATGTAATGGAACTCTTACATAAGAATTCGAATTCTTATCGATATACCACATACTTTTAAGTATAAATAATGTAAACAAACATAACTATAACGTCCTACTCCTGTCAGAGCCATGAGAGGATTTGAGCAAGAGGCTAGGATCCCATGCCCAATGTGTCTATAAATTGCCTCTTTGTGGCGATGCCAGACGCTGTAATGTTAAGCCCAGCATATGCTTATGTGCCGTATGTGATCCGGCGTCATCATTACCATTTTGTGACATCCTCATATCATATCGCACATCCACTCACACACACACACACGTCTTTATGACTTTCTCGCAAATGATAAGAAAAGTTTTTCCAGCATCGCCACCGGAGGAGGAGAGCAGGAGTTGTCCATGTCAAAACATATGGCATATTGCCAGGCAAAACATTTAATGGTCTGCAAAATGGCCAGTGGAAGGCAGAGGACGACAACGAGAGCGCATTAAAAGTAGCTTAACCTTCATTAGGCGCCCTATTCCAACTGCCAGTGAAATGAAATTTAATATGTGTCACGGCTTTGGGCATGAACGGGGTCCTTCCTTCGTCCTTTCGCCTGCCAACGGGCATCGGGTGGCGCAATAAACGCGGCTGTCAGTGAAGCTTAATATGCCATTTGTGCATGGCTGCCATGTCGGCTGCACTGCATCCTAATGATATGCTTGAAAAAAGGTTGCGAATCACCGCAGAGCTTGGCAAACAAAGAAAGCGCCAAGCGCCGTTCGTCGAGCTTTAATCAGTCGGGATCCAGGCAAGCAGCCAAACTCGATTTGCCAGCTCGTTTCACGCCAGGGCAAGCCTGCCGCAGCCGGAACTGGCAGCTCGCCTGTCTCCTACTCGAGTCGACTCCTACTTCCGCTAGCACGCTGACTCCGCACGCAACGAACGCGACAAACGCGTTAATGCGGCGACATGGCATTATCCTTCTCTCGCTTTCTCGCTCTCCCTGCTGCCACTCCGGCCCGCTGCCTGCCTGTGCATTTGGATAATCGAATTTGCGCAAACAAGCAGGCGACACAAGTTGCGCAAAACAGCAAGAGAAGCAGAGCAGCTGAGCAGCAGCTCGATCCACTCTGAAAGGAGAGCAGAACGAGGCACAGCACTACACTTGAGCAATTGACATGAATGTACCCCAAATGAGCTCGTAGATAAGCTCAAGTAACTTTCACTAAAAGCTCATTAAAGCTGAACTGCAGAGTTAAGAGGAATAAAGATATGAGAGTACAAGTTGAGCAGTCGATATGATATGATATGATAGTCCATGAAAGCTGAATGATTTCTACATCAATTTGAGTACCATTTGAGTATTATAATTAAACTTGTCATACTTTTGGTATACCTAACATTAGTTTATCGAGTAGAAACTGCGACAAATGGGATTCGAGTCTATTGTTATGAAGAGCCCGTTTTCAATTGAATCGTCTAATTGAATTTGTCTTGTGCTACGCCTCGTTATCACGCTGACCCTATATAAGCAGCAGAATTCGATCGCTCCACTTAGTACTGAAAGATCTTGCGATGGGTTTATTGATTTTGTTAGCACTCTTGGGTTTCAGTGGCCATGGAATATTTGTCCACTCGTATGACTGTCAGACTCAAGAGGCGGTGTTAAATCAGCAACGTCAAAGTATTCTGGACCAAAGAAACCTGCTGTCATTCCAGAAGCAATGGTTGGAGCAGTACTGTCATCTCTCCGTGCCCGATGTGGGAGTCATTCACCCTGTACCACCCCCTACGTGCGCAGGATCTATACATATAAACGTGAACTTATGTCCATATTTCAATAATTAAGCTGTGATTTTCAGTCGGTTAGGCAGTTAAATCACTAGATAAGGCCCACAGGCAACTATGATTTGTATACATAATAAAATGGGAATACAAAATAAACATAATAATATTGTAAACGAATATAATATAATATATATATTCCCGATTTGGGCGACGATCTGACTCGATTCAGCCCTCTCTGCAGCATGGCCGTCCGTCTGTGTATAGAAAGTATACGAGATACGTTTCCAAAAATCGATATCTAAATCTTTTTAGTTTTATCGATTAAAACCGTTGTTGACATTTTGCTTTAAGATTATATGTTCTATATCTTTATTAGCTTGTATTTATATAGTCTGATAAGTAGTTCTGATACAATATACAGGAAGAGTTAAAAGAGAGGCTTTGACATCATTGACTTTGAGGGCAGTAAAAAATTTTATTAGCAGGTCCATAAAAGATTTATAACTCGATTAGGGGATAAAGGGTCTCTTAGAAGATGTAATCTGTTTCCATAGTAAGTCACGCTGAAAAATCCTCTGTAAGCCCATTAAGCATGGTTCGTTTCTGGTTATGTAATTGAGTGGGTACGGTTACTTAAAATCCATGTTCAATTGATTTCGCACCCTAACGAATTTTGCTGCGCTTCTTCGCTATATAAGCTGGTGCTTACTGGATATCTCAACGCAGTGAAGATGAACCGTGTATTATATTCAGTGCTGCTGGTGCTTTCTGCCATCGTTCTTTTGGTCGATGGCACCACACTGGAGTGTCTACAGAAGCAGCAGTATTTAGCTAATGTGCAAGTGGAATTAAGCAAGCTAGAATTACGACATAACTATCACGTGAAGTGGTATAACAGCTATTGCCGGAATGCGCCATCGCCACATCCGACTATACCAATTCCACCGCAACAAAAGCCTGGTCCCACTATTATTGTAGTATACCCACCAGGAAGTCCATGTAATCCAGGAAATGGAACCACCGTTTATCCTCCTCCAACGCTGCCTACCCCTCCAACTGTTCCTGGGACTCTGCCAACTCTTCCAACTGTGCCAACCCTCCCTACAGTTTCTCCTATAACTCTGCCAACTCTTCCAACTGTGCCAACCCTCCCTACAGTTTCTCATGTAACTCTGCCAACTCTTCCAACTCTGCCAACCCTCCCTACAGGTCCTCCTATAACTCTGCCAACTCTTCCAACTTTGCCAACCCTCCCCACAGTTCCTCCTATAACTCTGCCAACTCTTCCAACTTTGCCAACCCTCCCAACAGTTCCTCCTATAACTCTGCCAACTCTTCCAACTGTGCCAACTCTTCCTCCACCTCCTCCAACACAACCAACTCCTCCTTCAACACAACCAACTCCTCCTTCAACACAACCAACTCCTCCTCCAACTCCTCCTCCAACTCACCCTCCAACTCATCAACCTCGCCCTCAAACATATCCACCGTATCCAACATACCCAACATATCCAACATATCCAACATACCCAACATATCCAACGTATCCCACATATCCAACATACCCAACATATCCCACATATCCACCGTATCTAACATATCCAACATATCCAACATATCCAACATATCCAACATATCCAACATATCCAACATATCCAACGTATCCCACATATCCAACATACCCACCATATCCACCTCTTACAGATGCTCCAACAAACACAACAACTCCACCATTCCCAACATTCTCAACCGATTCAACAACTCCATTCTCAACATTCCCAGCCGATTCATCAACTCCACCATTCCCAACCCATTCAACAACTCCACCATTCCCAACATTGCCAACCGATTCATCAACTCCACCATTCCCAACACTCCCACCTTCTACAACCGATTCAACAACTCCACCATTCCCAACATTCCCAACCGATTCATCAACTCCACCATTCCCAACACTCCCACCTACTACAACCGACTTAATAACTTTAACATTCCCAACATTCCCAACCGATTCAACAACTCCACCATACCCAACAGTCCCACCTACTGCACCTCCAACTCCACCACCCGTAATTTGTACGACCCCTTGCCAATACCAACCTTGTCCGTGGTCACCATGTGGACAACCACCAATAGTATTAGTTGTTGAATGCCCATTCACTAAGAAACTAAAAGAAAACCAAAATCAACAAACAGGGCAACAAGGAAACACAGACTCGCTACATATAAGCGTTTCATTAAGTGAGGCCCCCCCACCGATTGCTGCATTAAAGCCGTCCGTTCCTATCACTGATACCGATATTCATGTGGACGCGACGCTAAACACGGTAAGTGCGAGCTGTGCCCAAACTTAGATTGAATCTAAGATTATTCGTCGCCCCATGGAACAGGTGGAGCTGATCACCAAGTATGGTTACCCTGCGGAGGTGCACAACGTCAGAACATCGGACGGCTATGAGCTGACCCTGCATCGCATACCGCGACCTGGAGGACCGGTCGCATTGCTCGTGCACGGCCTCATGTCCAGCTCAGCGTCTTGGGTGGAAATGGGCCCAACAAACGGTCTGGCCTATATACTATACGACCAGGGATACGATGTTTGGCTTTTGAATACGCGCGGCAACATCTATTCGCAGAAGCATGTGAATCCGAATATTCAACCAGCGGAATACTGGAGCTTCTCGTTCCATGAAATTGGAACTTACGATCTGCCGGCCACAATTGACGAAATCTTACGTATTACGGGCAAGAGCACCTTGCAATACATTGGCCACTCCCAGGGCTGTACCGCCTTCTTTGTGATGGCCAGTGTGCTGCCTTCCTATGCCAAGAAGGTGTCTCTCATGCAGGCTCTCTCGCCCACGGTCTACTTGAAAAATTCACAGAGTCCGGTGCTGCGGTTCCTGTCCCTGTTCAAGGGAAATATCAGAGTACGTATTCCATGCGAGTGCCGTTTTTTCTTTAATCGTCTCTAATCTCGTGCAATGCTCAATTGTAGCTTCTGCTCAATTCACTTGGTGGATTCTCGGTCGCAAAGGACAACAAGCTAATCAAACAATTCCGCGATCAAATCTGCCAGAGCAAGCAATTGGGCAGCGAAATATGCCGCATCTTTGACTTTGTTGCGTGCGGATTCGGCTGGAAGCAGTTTAACAATGTAAGTAGTTCAACCTAGAGTTAAGCGGCTAAGAGAGAATGGTGAAGCAATTTTTGTCCTGCAAATAATTTTAGAACTCCTCCGACTGCTCCTTAAGCTATCCATGCTAGGTTCCATCCTAGTTTCCTAGTCGGGCACTTTTACGTATACATAAATGATTTCCATATATTACAGACCTTGGAGCCCATTGTTGCTGAGCATTCGTCGCAGGGCGCGTCCGCCTTCCAGATCTATCACTACTCTCAGCTGCTCACCAGCAATGCCTTCGCGGCCTTCGACAATGGCGAGGTGCTCAATTTACAGCAATATAATACGCCCAAACCGCCGGCCTACAACATCAGCCAGATACCCTGTCAAGTGGCACTGCATCACTCGCAAGACGACTGGCTGGCCAGCCCACCCGATGTTCAGCAGCTGAAGGAACAACTGTCCAATGTCGTCGACCACTCGTACATTCAGCAGGAAGGGTTCCATCACTACGACTATTTGCTTTCAAAGAATGTGCAGTACCTAGTCCACGATCGCGTAATTAGTAATTGTGCCAGGTATGGGCACAAATCTACGGATACTTAATATTGACTTAAGTAGCATGGCAAATATTAATCTTTTGTAGATTATCAATTTGAGAAGTTTACTTTAAACTTACTTACATGAAAATATATGCGAAAATAAATAGTCTTATCACTTGGGCAAGTTGTATTTAAGAGATATTTGAGGCTATATTGAAGTTATTATTCAGTTATAGTCGGGAAATTCATTAACAACTTGTGGAAAATTTTACATTCACTGAAAAATAATTCTGATACTCATTCATTGGTGTATATTATAGATTATTGATTAAATTTTTAAGACTGTCCCATTGGAAAACTGAATTCAGAACTGCAGGAGGCGCAAGCTTTACCCTACTTTAAGGAACGATTGCCCGAAAAACTCGCTAAACTCTTGATGAGACAGTCTATCAATTAAATTGTCACATTGCTGCAGGTGGATTTGGTTTGCATGAGTCGAATGACAGCTAGACAGTTTGACAGCAGGAGTCCCATGGGCATTTCATTTGCGGCTCTTGGGGCAAATCAATGCACATACGAATTTCCATATTCATATGTAAAACGATTCATAAATTTCAGATGCTGTACGCATATTTACACGCCGCGATGCGCGCTTGAAAATTAAGTTTGCAGTTGAAATGGGACGCAAAGACAGGGGGAGGGTGAGGGGGAGGGGGCACACAATGGCCTGACTTTAAATTGCTCACGTGTGTATGTGACACAATTTGGGACAGAGCCGAGCGGAGCCGGGCAGGGAAGGGCAGAGGCGGGCCGGGACAAGCGACAATGGCGGAAACGGAAGCGCAAAATGTGAAAAATGCGCGCAGTGAACAAAGCGCTTGAATGTGGAGCAGGAGGCGGAGCAGGAGGCGGGGGTTAAGGCAAGCCATGTGGCGCTTAACAGCTGGCACGTACACGCTGCCACGCCCACGCAAAGGGCCGCGGGGCAAACAATTTGGCAAGCACACACACACAGACACACACAGAGGGAGAGAGAGAGAGAGAGATACGCACATACACACAGTCACATATATGGAGTCTTCACTTTTGGTCTCTGCAGCGCTCGTAGCTCGCCCCATCTTGGGGCTATCAACGTCACGGGCCTCGCCATAAGCCTCAAATGCCATGCGTACGTGTGTTATTTAATGCTTATCTTTATCCTTTTCCCATTAGTGTTATTGATGTTGGCAGTCGTCGTGCCCTGCCATTGTGGCACCTGTGCGCTTCTGCTGCTGCTGCTGCTGCTGCTGCTGCTGCTCCTCGATAAACCCGGCCGGCAGCTATACGCTGACAATTGATGCCACAAGCTGCCAGCGGAAGCACAAAACCTGGCACAAAATCACGCGCTAAACATTATTTTAATGCTCCAGGCAGTCACATATGTACTCGTTCGCATTTGCAGTCTCTCTCTCTCTCTCTCACACTCATTCTTTGTCTTTCTGTGAGCTCCTCTCTATAAAGCAGTTTGTCGCAAATATTTAAAGCTCTGCTGTATTTCCTTTGCTGCTTGCCGTGCCGTGTGCTTCAGCCCCAAAGAGCTCTCTGGGGGCCTCTCGATGCCACAACTGACATTTACAAATGCTAAACTTGGCTCCGCATTGGAGGCGGCCTTGAGGGAAGCCTCTTGAATTGAGACGCTCCTGAATTATGGCGCCAAATGGTTCAGCTTAAAGCCTTTCAAGCAAACCCCATAAATTGTGAAATAAGTTTGCCATTAAGAGTGCCTGTGCTCAGTAATTGCTTACGAGGCTAACGAGGATTCACATGATAAAATATTTAAAATGTTTGCATTTGTGTGCGAATAGCAGAGATGCGGAAAAACGGTAGGAATTTATGGTAGTTAGCTATTTATGAAGGTATATATATATGTTATAATCTATTCTTATTTTTCATGTCAGCCAGACATTCATGCGGCTCTACATAAATAAAGCCAGATATGTGTATACATATTATTTATTCACAAAATATTCTTGGGCAAGCTAGCTAATTAAGAGCTTGAATATGAATTTTAATTTGATGCCAAGTGCAAAACAGCAAATTGTAAAATTTAATCAAAATAAATTTTACATTTACTTAATAAAAAATTTTGTTGATTTTTTTTATTTTACTTTTTGCTATGTTATATTTTCAATATATTTTTAAAAATATATATTTGCAAGTAATTTATTTTATTTTATTTTCTTTAAATATATTCTTCCAAACGCATTCTATATAAATTTGGTTTTTTTTTTTTAATAATGTTGAGTATATTTTATTCATAATTAAAAGCAACATTTGAAAAAAAAGTTTGTTAATTCAGTATTTTTAAAATATTTTGTCATTATAACTATAATATATATTTTTATATTTCTATTTTTTTTTATATTTATATGCAATGTTTTCTTATTTTGTAAAGTACACGACGAAAATAATTGAAATTTCACGCGAGCTCACTTGGGATTATTGTACTATTATTTATTATATGTACGTATGTAATGATCAGGTATTAAGTATACGACAGCTGTATAACGAGGCCGAACAAGAGTTTGTCCGAGTTATTTCATACATTTAGTCTTAGTTTTATTATACAGAAAGTATACTATCAGAAGGCATCGATATATTTTATTTAGTCAATCAAACAAATAATAAATAAATTAATAATAACAAATACAGAAGGCGAGCTGTCAGCTTTCAGATGCTATCGACTGTGCGTGAGCTCTCGCATGCTTTGACGTGCCTGGTAGAGTTGTATGCTGGATGGAACGGAGAATTATAGTTAACTTTGACAGATCCATCGCTGGACGTGTTTTATCAAGTATTTTTCGATTGGTGTCGTAGCTTTTCACACATTTTAAACACCAATTCCAACAAATTCAAATGTATTGTTAAATGTTAAGCGGTCGAACAATCTCGCGCGGCCCAAAGTGTATAGAAGCCATTCCCATAACCAGGTGACGACAAGCCGAGCTCGCTATTTTCTATGTGAAGCATCGACAAGCCGCCCAGCACTCCGCCTGCAAGACAGCGTAATACCGTTAAGCAACCCCAAACCGAGCAGAGAACGCGAGAAATAAGAGAATCAAAGAAATGTTGGCGCGCAGATCCCAGCTGAGCCCGCGGACACCGCCCGTCCACGAGCGCATCGCCCTGCTGTGCGCCCGGAACATCTGCAAGCTGGCCGCTGCTCTGCCCAAGCCGTGCACGCGCTCCGGCTACTTGCCAGTGATGGTGGAGCTGCGCCGCGTCGACGACAATGCCGTCTATCGCTACCAAGTGAACCTGTCGCCGAACAGTCTGGAGGCCGACAGCCAGCACATGGGCATGGCCCAGGCCAAGGCGATCACGCAGCAGCTTCAGCTGCCCTGTCTCGTGCATGGCGCCCTCGAGCCCTGCGCACAGTCCCAGGCTGTGCTGCCAATGCTGACAGAGGATGGCGAGCCGCCGCAGCTGATCATGGCGCAGGAATCTGTGCACATAGCGCAAGACCGTGGGAACTATGTGAGCATGGGCCGCATGGCCAGCAACGACGGCATCGTCACGTTCCAGAACTCGGCCTATATCAGCGGCGCATCGAAGATCACGCGCGACCATTTCATGGCCGTGCTGCACAACCATCGCCCCAGTCCGCTGCAGTTCGAGACACTGTGGGCGGACCAGCATGTGGAGGAGCTGGAGAATATTGAGCAAGTTATCAACGCCTACCAGCCGCGCCCCATAGAGCTACCGGCCGTACTCGAGCCAATCACAGCGCATGTCAATGGGGCCGCGTCCCAGCTGCAGCTGGAGCCTTACACTGGCCATAGGCAGGCTTCCCCACCGAAGGCTCCGCCAGCTAGCTATCAGGGCAATGAGCATCAACACAACCCAACTCAGCAGCCGCCCAGCCGGCCGCTCAACGGCTACAAGCAGCAGCGCAAGCCCAGCAGGAGCCAAAGCCACGCCAACAGCACTGAGCGAGTGCTCGGTCAGCCGAAGAGACTCGGCAGTGGCAATCGCGAGCCACCGACTCAGCCGGCGTCGGACTCGACTGGCTACAGGCCGCAGCCCTACGAGCCGGCATTCTATTGCAACATCAAGGACTACATTGCCAACCAGCAGTCGCGGCAGCGCATCTTCCTGCCCAGTGGCGATCCACAGGAGAATCACGTGGAGGGATCGTCACCCCTCTATGCGCACCTGCCGCGCATCGACAGAAACGGCCATCCCTTGGATGTGCGTAGGGAGCAGCTGTTGCGACAGAAGCTGGAGCAGGAGTTCGACTATCAGCGGCTGATCGAGCAGCAAAAGTATCAGCGCATCTTTTCGGGTGAGTTGACTTGAAATGCAAATCGAAAATGCTGGCAGCAGCATTGCTCTAGCCTTGATCTACTCAGACTAATATAAGAAAATAATGCAAAGAGCTAAAATAAATTATTATGTAGGCCTTCATTTGATCTATTCTTTGGAATAGATTGAAATTGTATCATAATTTCTCTATATATCAATTACGATTTCTATTAAATTCTGTGTTAATGGGGCTTTTTTATTTTTTAATCTTCAAACACATTTGTCTTATAGATTTATATATCACCACTCCTTAATACCGTTTATTCTCATGTCTTGACCTTGCATAGAAACGTCGAGAATGTCGCAAGTTCCGCAAGAGCTGCAGTCGCTGTTCCACTGGGACTGCTGCCACCTGTGCCACACGGCAATGCGCACGATGCGCAACGCCCTGGACCACTACCTGTCGCGGACGCACCTGCGGCGCGTGGACTCGTGGCTGATACGCTACAGCTTCATCAAGGGCAACCTGTCCGAGGATATGCTGCGGCACCTGCGCAGCTCGGGCCCCGCCGTGCTGCACTGTGACCTGTGCGATCTGAAGCTGACCTCGGTCATACACGCGCGCCAGCACTTCTACGGGCGGCGGCATCGGCTCGTGGAGCGGCACATCAGCAGGCCGAACGGCGAGGGCTACTACGACAAGGCGGGCCGCTGGGTGCGCACCAACGACAAGTGGCTGATGTGCAATCTCTGCGACGTGATTGTCACCTCGGAGTCGCAGCTGTCCATACACATGGCCGGGCTGCGCCATCGCAAGCGCGAGCGCTCCAGCTATTCGGCCTCCTTCTCGGAGCCGTTCGATGGCAGCCACGTTTATCGCATCAATGCGAATGGCTCGCTGGTGCCGCTGAATCCGCTCGGCTACTACCTGTATTCCGGCCATAACAAGCCGGACTTTCGTAAGATCAACGAACTGAATGCCGCCTTCTACTGCGAGGTCTGCAACGTCACGCTAAATCATCTAAAGTCGGTGAAACAGCACGAGGAGGGGCGTGTGCATAAGAAGAAGCTGGTGAGGGTCATGCAATAGAAGCGGGGACAAGACAGAAGAAGAAGAAGAAGAAGAAGAGTAAGAAGGGCAATAATGTGAAGAAGAAAACGAATTATAAGTAGAGGCATACAAAGTGTGGAGTGGTGTGTATATGGGACAGTGAGTCTGCGTTTCATCTCGTATCTACAGTATTTATCGAAGCTAAAGAATGTCAGTAGAGCCCCCAGCCCCAAACCAGACGAACGGGCCGAGTGCTGTGCCGTATTATTGACAATTTCCTTTTTGAGCTATCTAACCATTTCATATGTTTTATAATAGAATTGCGTATAATCAACAAATGACCAAATGTGATCTATATATATATATGTATATATATGTATGTGTGTATATATGTCTATACATGTATATATATGTATATATATATGTATATATAAATATATAAATGTATTTACATATATATATGTATATGTATATGTATGTATAAAAAATAATAATAAGATATTATTGTATATCTCTCTATTAAAGAGACGTTCCGTTGTTTTTTTCTGTATTCTGTATGTATCAAATATTCTTGAAAATGAAGCATATTTCGAAGAAAAAAGTGTTGCATGCTTTTGGGCTGCGCGATAAATGTTGTCCAACAGAATGTTGCCAAACATGTGCGTCCGAAATGTTGCTAAGCTTCAAGTATGTTGCCGAAGATATGTTGCTAAGCAGCCTTCGGCTGTTGGAAATAATATTACAAATGAAATGTCAATTTATAAATTAATTGATAAAAATGAATAAAATAAAATATATTTATTTATATTTATTGATTTCCTTATTTCTTAGTATATATGTGCCAGGCGAACTGAAATGATCAGTAGAGCTAGAATGCTAGTTAGCATTTCACTGTTAACTAACAGTGTGTTATTAGCTAACTCAATGTTAATTCAAATTCATCATCAGCTGGTAGTTATAAAGATTCTGAGATCTACCAGATGACGTCAGCACTCGGATATTTAAGCAGATGTAGCTGAAAACTATGCTTAATCTATATCAGAGAGAAAACACAAAGCCCACTTCTGCATTCACAAGCCATTTCTTCATTTTCAAAGATTTAATGGTAATTAAAGTAAATTAATGAATGTTACGGTTATTTGGCCTTTGATAGCTGTTAAAGCCTTGGGCTAATTAATGATGCGACACTCGCCGCAATCGCTGTTGTTCTTTGCTTTTAATTGCACGTCTGCTTATGCAGCGACACGTTGCCCCAATGCGGAGGCGCTGCGTCTGCCGTTTGCCATTTGCAATTCGCCATTTGCCATTTGCCATTTGCCATTTTCCAGTTGCCATTCGCCATTTGCCCAGACGAAAATGGCATAAAATCTGCGCAGGACTCGTCGCCAGGCAGAGACAATGGGCGTACCATAAAAACGGAGTTATCGCTGGGTAAATATCAGAGGAGAGCTGCCCACAGCCCACACCGCCCGGGACCGTGGCTCCATGTCAGTCAGACAGTCGGCGTCTAGACAAAACATGGCATTAAATAAATAAATAAATCGCAACAACATCGACAAACCGCAAAAAGCGGATGCGACTCGCTACAATTTATGGCCACGTTTTTGGGCGAGTGTGAAGAAAAAACGACGCGACGTTTGCTGCACATGTCCGATGAAGGTCAATGGCAAGTGTCGAGCGTGTGAACTTGTGGGCGTGGCCAGTGCACAGCCTAGTCAGCTGCAGGCTGCAGTATCTCTACACACATACATACATACATATATGCACTATATACATACATATGTCCTCTGCTCGGTCCTATCCTCTGCTGCTATATAGATATCTGTTTATCTGGCCGTCTGGCTGTCGCTCCTGGGGTGGCAGCTCAAAACATGTTTTCGCATAAATTAAACTTCTTATCTGCTGTAAAACATTTGACGCCATTGTTGTTGTTGCTGCTGCTATTGTTGTTGTGCGGACAGGAAATGTATAGTCAGCAGCAGCCCCAATAACAATAACTAGTCAGCTCTTGCAGCGAGGCGCATGAGGAGGGAAAAATAATCGAAGGAAAAACTGCTGCTAAATATATAAATTGACGGGAAATGACATTTTACCGATGATATAGTTAACGATATGATATGGCAATTGGCAGATGCAAAATGTAAAATGCAATTGACATAATGCA